TTTCCAGAACTATTAGAAAAAACTGGATTCAAGAATTAATAACATGGTTGGCTCAGTTCAGAACATGTGACTCTTTTAAAAAAAAATTATTTATTTATTCATGAGAGACAAACACAGAGAGAGAGAGAGACAGAGAGAGAGAGGCACAGAACAGGCAGAGGGAGAAGCAGGCTCCATGCAGGGAGCCCAACATGGGACTCGATCCCAGGTCTCCAGGATCACACCCTGGGCTGAAGGCAGGCGCTAAACCGCTGAGCCACCTGGGCTGCCTGAACATGTGACTCTTAAAGGCCATGAACCCCATGTTGGACACAGAGCCTACCTAAAAAAATAAAGAATAACATAGGACTGAATGAGGAAAATTATAATTTTTATCACTTCTTGTTTGAAATACTGCTGGTTCTTTAATGTTTTGCTTTTCCAGACTTGGCAATTTGGTAAAGTATACCTTTAAATAAAGATGAAATACTAGGGGATCCCTGGGTGGCGCAGCGGTTTGGCGCCTGCCTTTGGCCCAGGGCGCAATCCTGGAGACCCGGGATCGAATCCCACGTCGGGCTCCCGATGCATGGAGCCTGCTTTTCCCTCTGCCTGTGTCTCTGCCTCTCTGTCTCTGTGACTATCATAAATTAAAATAAAAATAAAAATTAAAAAAAAAAAGAAATACTAAAGTATTCTTTTTTTTTAAGTAGGCTCCACACACAGTGGGACTTGAACAAATGACCCTGGAATCAAGAATTGGCTGCTTAACCAACTGAGCCACCTAGGCACCCCAGGAGTATTCTTTTCATAGTAATATAGTTAGTTATTTACATAACTTCAATAAAAGTCTGTTCTCCTTATAACCTAACTGAAAGTACTGGTTATGGGACGCCTAGGTGGCTCAGCAGTTGGGCATCTGCCTTCAGCTCAGGGCGTGTGATCCTGGAGTCCTGGGATCAAGTCCCACATCGGCTCCCTGCATGGAACCTACTTCTCCCTCTGCCTATGTCTCTTTCTCTGTGTGTGTGTGTCTCTCATGAATAAATAAATAAAAATAAAAAAAAATTAAAAAAGGAAATACTAGTTATGTCACCAAGGCTTTAACTGGAGGTTTTACAAGTAAAATTTGATGGCCAGTCCTTCAGAGGCTTTTGAGAGTCCAAAGATTCCTTAATAAAAATTTCAGCAAAGCAGTCTTCAAAAAGAGCTTATGTGGTCAGTCACTATTCTCACTGCACTTATATACACTTATATAAACAATCAGGCCAAGTTTACTGTAAACAAATGAGTTTTACGGTGATTATCTTGTTTGTTTTTTTAAAAAAAGAGTGGAGTTACTTGTAGAGAATAAGATGTTTGTACCTTTTAAATGTCAGATTCTGGCCCTATTAACTATTGAGGTTTTGTTACATGCCTGCATGTATCCTGAATTTTTCTAGTTTCCTCAAATATCTGGCTACAACTCTCAAAACTAGTTTTTCTTTTCTTTTTTTTTTTTTTAAGATTTTATTTATTCATTCATAAGAGAGAGAGGAGGCAGAGGGAGAGGGATAAGCAGGACCCTGGGACCACGATTCAAGCTGAAGGCATACACTTAACCGACTGAGGCACCCCGGTACCCCTAAACTAATATTTTCAATTCTCTCCCACCTTTGGGATCACTAAGACTGCCCTTCAATCTCCTTGGAAAGGTCTCTACCAGTTCCCCCTCACCACCTAGATGGCAGCCAAACTCCAAGGACTAGAAGAACCCCAAGCACATATTTCACAGCTTGAAAAGGCTTCGCCTAATATCTAGTCCTGTGAAAATGTTGGAAACCTTCAAATTAAACTGAAGAAGAGAAGTAGGTAACATTGATGTATGCTACTTCCTCCCAAGACACCAGATCAAGACCATACTTTAGCCAATATCCTCTTTGTCATAAAAAACTCTGATCGATATACTAAAGACCCCTCAGTCCATTTTCCTGTCTTTTATTAACCTTAAAACTTGGGGAACTTTGCATCCAGGCTCTATATAAAGAAAAGGACACGAGGCAAGGGTAACCAGAATAAAACCACAAGTGCGGTCTACAAACCATTAAAATATTACTGGCTTCCATTGCTGATGCCTTTCCAGTCCAGAGCCACAGATTAAGATGGGAATTACTGGGAGGCATTCAGGATTCACTTCCTTTGGCAGGACTCTACTTTCCCTGGTCAACACCACCTGCTATGGATTACCACTTCTGAGGAAGTTGAAACTCAGTTACATAAGATCACTGAGAAAGCCACTTGGCAAAAAAAGGTGAGTCCCTCCAGGGAGTCTTTCTTTGACTTAATTGATTTTGATTGGTTTGGGTCTTAGAGAGTCCTCGGTTCTAAAGTCCAATCCAAACACTGGGAATTATCTCACTTATTATAATCATACTAGTTTTCCCTGATATGCTGTATTCTCTCAAAGGCTTTAAATGCATGTTCGTAGCCTCTACCCACTAAGCAAATGATCTCCCTAAAACTGAAACATCAAAAAAGAAAAGAATGACCAGCTTAAAAATATGAACCTGAAGCTGGGGTCTGTCAAAGAGATCAAGACCTGTGAAGACACACAAAGGATCAACAAAAGCTGTGAGAACTTTAAAAAGTGGTAGCTGGGAACAATGCTAATGCCTTAAATTTTAATCATATCTCTCAGTTAAACTGAGAGTCTAATACAAAAGGTGAGGGGTCGGTGGGGGTGCGGGGCAAGGATTGTTAAAAAAATAAAAATAGGCCCAAAATGGGGTCACTTGTGCTAAGCCTCACATCAACAAAGATTTCATACCTAACCTAACTATACTTTCAACCTTTCCCAGGAATGTAATCTTAAACTAGTCAATCCTCGAATTTCCTAGTCAACAATAGTGAGGTAATCCTCCCAATAGGCCTCTTCTGTCCCCAAAGAAAGATGAGGTAATCCATGCTTTCCTTATCTCTTGCCCCTTCTGCCTATAAAAGTCTTCCATTGGAATACCTGGGTGGCTCAGCAGTTGAAAAGTCTGCCTTTGGCTCAGGGCGTGATCCCGGAGTTCTGGGATGGATGGAGTCCCACATTGGACTCCTGCAGGGAGCCTGCTCCTAACTCTGCCTATGTCTATGTCTCTGCCTCTCTGTATCTCTCATGAATAAATAAATAAATAAATCTTTAAAAACAAATAAATAAAAGTCTTCCATGTTGGAGGCGCCTGGTTGGCTCAGTCAGTAGAGAATGTGACTGACTCTTGATCATGAGACTGTGAGTTCAAGCCCCATGCCAAGTGTAGAGACTACCTGAAAATAAAATTTTAAAAACATAAAAAAACAACTTTTCCATTTTGTATAGTTCTTTAGAGCTCCTATTAGCTAGATGGGATGCTGTCTGATTCATAAATTGCTAAATAAGGCCAATTTGATGGTTAAATTTATTAACAAAACTACCCAAGTACCATCAATAAATAGTGCAATGGATATGAGTCTTACATATAGAGAAAACATATTAAAGTCCCATGTAACTTAAAGAGTAATCATGACATTTCAGGGGCACCTGGGTAATCAGTCGGTTCAGCATCTGTCTTCGGCTGGGATCATGATCCCAGTAGTCCTAGGATTGAGCCCTGCATTAGGTTCCTTGCTCAAGGGAGTCTGTTTCTCCCTCTTCCTCTACTCCTACCTCTGCTCCAGCTCCTTCTCTCTCTCAAATAAAATCTTGAGTAAAAAAAAAAAAGGAGTAATCATGACATTTCAAATACTGAGTATGGATACCTAAAACTCTTTATATATTATTTTACAAATAAGATATAATTCTATATATTTTGTTAAGATATTTTATTTATTTCAGAGAGAATACAAGAAGCATGAGTGGTGGGAGAGGGAGAAGCAGACTCCCTGCTGAACAGGGAGCTTTAATGTGAGGCTCAATCCCAGGACCCTAAGATCCTGACCCTAAGACCATGATCATGAAGGTAGACTCCTCACTGACTCAGCCACCTAGGTGCCCCTATAATTCTATTTAAATTCCAACATGGCAGATGCCTTAAAAACTCTCCGGGTACTTTGATAAAAGAAGATGTTAAATGTCATACTTTTCTAAAATTGGATATAATTTAAATGGATAACCACCTTCAGCTGGAGACTGAACACATAAAATGTTCTAGAGTCTCAATTAGATTGATAATTTTTTGGGACGCCTGGGTGGCTCAGTGGTTGAGCATCTGCCTTCAGCTCAGGGCGTGATCCCAGGATCCGGGATCTGGGATCGAGTCCCACTTTGGGCTCCCTGTGGGGAAGCCTGCTTCTCCCTCTGCCTCTGCCTCTCTCTCTCTCTGTCTCATGAATAAATAAATCTTTAAAAAAAAAAAAAGACTGATAATTTTCTAGCTTATCTGGCTATTTTCTCTAGTAGCAGCAGCTTGTATTGAACTAGGGGTAGTTCTGCTATTTAACACAGATATTCTATTGTGTTCTACAAAGAACACAGTTCTGCTATTTTATTCCACCACAGATATTTAGGTCATTGACTTACTTCACTGGTGCCACAGAATTTATAACCACTTTGTTCCAATGCACTGTAAATCTGTTAATCACAAGATCACAGGAACTTACAAGTTTCCCTCAAAATAGCTAATTTCTAAACTCGTCTCCTTACAAACAATGACAAAAAATAATTTAAAAATAAACAAAAGTGTTATTAAATTATTAACACTATTCACACATCGTATCTTAAACTAATATACAACATTTGAGAACATACTAACAGTGCTCACATTATCAGCCATTTCATCCAATAAATACTCTGAAAAGACTGGTTCTAGGATTTATTGTGCTGGGCCACACATACATAAATACTGAATATATATGTCTATCATTGAACACGATATCTACATAAATGGATAAATGGTCTCTCAAAAAGTACTATCAAAGGATACTGTACATTAAAAAGTTTACAATTCAATATATTTACAAGGAAAATCTATACAGAAAGAGGGCAGAAAACAATATTCAAATTAAACCAAAGTACTCACGTTGATGCCCAACCCATCAAAGGATTTTCCCATCGCTCCCTGGTATCAAACTCCATCTTCCATTTCTTTGTGTTATTTACTCCAGACTGCATGTTATTGCGAGCAGGAACAAAGATCCTGACTTTTCTAGTTTTGATATGCTCTTCTGGAACACCAGTTAAAGTAGTAATATCCTACAGAAAAACAAGCAAACACATTTCTAACAGCTCATATACACTCTGATGTACTTTTGCTGCTTTGTATACCCATATAACCCTATTCAGATTTCCCAACTGGGGTTTTTAGCTTTCTGATTTCACTAACTCTACTATTTACCCTATATACTGCTATTTTGACATCTGAAAAATATATATTGGGAGTAGTTAGGGTACAGTAGAAAAGGGTTCATGAAAAAAAAATTTAGGTGCCTTCTGTCCAACAAAACATTGGTAATTTCTGAAGTGTTTGCTGGTAGATGAACCTGTCATCAGTAGACTCTTATTTCATGAGCTGGTATAACTAGTAAGAGAGAAAAATTGTGAATGGAGTAAGGAGATATAAAAAACTGATAACTTTTAAATAGAAAAAAGTCCATTACCAGTGATTTCTGTGTCAAACTGCTTACAACAAGGCATTTCTTTAGAGAAAGGCGTAAGCCTTTTGGCAAACAAAATCAATTAACAACTTTAGATACTACCATTTTATCTCTCTTTGGTGAAATCTACTGAAAAAAAAAATGATACATCAAATCTACTCTGCAAAAGTAAACCAAAAAAGTTACCATTGTTTTCATTTCACCTTTCTGCAAAAATTGTGTAACTTTCTCTTTTTTAAAAAAAATTTTATCTAGTAACAAATGCTCAACTGATAAATGCATATAATTCTGATACCCCAGTTTAGACCTATTTCTCAAATATGGTACAATCAGGACACAAAATAGTAAAGTAATTCAGAATTTAAGTCTCCATTCAGTAATAGTAGAAACACTATATTTAATCAAAGTAAGATCATATATCAGAGTTAACCATATTCTTATAAATGAAGCATTATCATATCATGGTTCACTTACTAAGGTAAATTTTAAACAACTGGTTAAAAACAACAGAGTAAACATGAAAATGATACCAAACTTGTGAAAACCGGAAAATTTTGTGAATTTCAATTTAATTGTAAAAAATCCACTAAAGACAAATGTTTATTTAATTTATAGTTCCACTCTAAACAATATTATGGACCAAATAATTGTGTTAAACACTTGGTGCTGCAATAGGTACTGGGCAAATACTATATATATTTCTGACTGCACTGGCCTTCCTACTCAGACTTAAAAAAATTGTTTAGGGGCACCTGGGTAGCTCAGTCCATTGAGTGGCTGCCTTGGGCACTGGGCAAAGGTCAAGATCTCAGGATGCTGGGATTGAGCCCTATGTCAGGAATCCCTGCTCAGTGGGGAGTCTGCTTCTCTCTCACTCTCTCTCTACCCCTCCCCCTGCTATGCTCAGGCTATCTTTCCCATAAATAAATAAATAAATAAATAAATAAATAATAAATAAATAAATAAATATAAAAATAAATAAATATAAAAATAAATATAAAAATAAATAAATAGTTTAGGGTTATTTTAGCTGGCAACCAATCTTCTGCTTGACATGATATCTTTCTACTTACACCAATAACTAGGTGTGGTTACTCTGTCACAGCTTGTCTGGAGAAACTACCAAAATAACCCATATAAATATTTATTATACAAATACGCACTTCTAGTACATACCTACATTTTTAAAGTCTCTTTGTATACAGGATAAAAGCAAAATATGCACAACACTCATAATTTTTAAACATATAACTAAGTTTTAGTTGATCATTTTTAATTGTCAAGTTCAATTTCAAAGAAATTTCAAGTATGATGACATCTGATGACTTAAAGAGCTTAAAGAAACTCCTGGGAAGTCCTCAATAATTTGTCATATTAACTTATTTAATATTATATACTGATGATAAATATATATATTTATTTTATTTTTTTCAGCTAGAGCTGAAGTGGTATATAAACAAACAATGCACATGTATTATAAAATTACAGGATAAGGTATCATTTCCAAATTCCACAGCAAACCCTCCAATATGAGTTGAGTCCATAAACACTGGATCTATAAGTTAGCTACTTTTTAAGACTTACAGGAAAGGAAACTATTAAACTCTTAACACTAATTAATTAGCTCAGGAAGATGAGATGACAGGAAACATTACTTTCTCTTTATAATCTCCTATATTGTGAGGTATACACACTAAAGTAATTTTTTTAAACTTTTAAAAAAGGAAATAGCATTTCTTGATTTGTACTATTAGAATAGGCAAATGATTTTTTCTTTAGGATGGAAAATCTCTCTTAAGTGGCTATAAAATGTTACTGAGCTCTTTTTATTTTGAACAACCATGAGTGCCTCCATAGCTTCTCAAAGTATAGCATTTTTTAAATTGATATTCCCCAATTTAAAGTTGATATTCCTCAATTTAAAGTTGGCACTGGCACAAATAAGTTACTGAATTTTGAAGACCAAGTTGTCCTGACACAGAATCTGTTTTTGCCGGCAAAAGACATGTAAGGTACTGCAGCCCAGTTGAGCTGCTGCCAAAGACGAGGATGAAAAGGCTTGGCATCGCTCACATACTTGACACCTAAAGGGCACAGAAGCTCTAAAATTCCTAGTCCCTGTAGGCACACTCTTAGTCTAGACAAACTGATTTCTCACACTTTTAAAATGCATTACGACACTATTGTTATCATTTCATCCACACAGCTTCAGCTAGTGACAGAAGAACCTGTCCTTTAAGCCACATTTCAATGGGCTAAAAGCTCCCACTCCAAGATTCCATTAAAACAATGTAATACTTGAAAAGAACTATGAGGCACTATATTGAAATCTTTACTTATGTCTTGAATTCTTTGCTCTCCCTCAAAATAAATAAATAAAAACATCTGCAAACTAAACTACATTGAACCAAAAACCAAAGACATCAACTCTAGACTTCTACTCTGGTATTGCAATTTGGATCACCTGTGTTTTAAAAACAAAACAAAACGCTTATAAAAGATATGTTTTGAAGATGTCAATATTGCCTTTTATAGATTTCTCATTTTACTGGTAAAATATTTATAAATAACAATTCATGATATTCTATGACCACAGAAAAGCTAAATCGCATTTGATAGGAAGTCTTAAAGATTTTACCTGAAGAAACTCAAGACTCACTAGCTAATGATTATCTATAAATTTTAATACATCAAGTTACCCTTTGGATAATACACACTAATTTACTGAATTTCAAAACTTTTAAACAGATGAGTAAGCATAAAACCTATATTCCGATTATTAAAGAATGTCATTATCTTGTTTCACAATCATAGGTATAATAATGTGATTTTTAAGAAGCAATAATTAGTGATTTGTAGACTGAAAGGCATTCAAATATCTGCTACTGAAAAGATGCATATCATAATTCCAAAGTTCCACTCTTTCAGTATCATCTCTTCTACAATTTTAAATTCTGGAAGAGCGTACAGCTTACCTTCTATTTCATAAGTTCATAACTATTTCATAGTTCAATGGAAGAGGAATTTTAAAAATCATTAAGAAAGTATATGCCAGCATATGTAAATAAACTTTATTCTTTCAAACACCGATTTCCATTATAAAATATTAGTTTTCCATATAAAAACTGTATGATTCGGTTATCAACTGTCCCCATTTATGTTGTGTGAATTCAACTTTTTTTTTTTTTAACAAAGGAAGCAGGGAACAAGCAATGGGAAGTTGGTGTCAAAATGCAGAAAAACCTCCCAGCAAGCTTCTTGCAACCACCCAGGATTTAGAGTCTTGCTGGTCGCTCTCTTTTCAATACCAGAATTTCACACATTTCAATGACTATTATGACTTCAAAGAATCAAATTTTCATCATTGTCCGTCATCTGCCGGTTGATTTGTATAAAGGAGTTCTTCTGCATGCACTCCAAACAAAAGCCTCCTTACTTTTGTGGCTATATATCAAGTTTAAAAGTTTTGTTTGTGACAGTTGTGTCTTTGGTAAATTAGGGTAACACTGAAGGAGTGCAGCTGCTCTGCAGGAACCTCCTTTTTGGCACCATTTCACTTAAATAAAAACTGAATAATTAGCTTCTGCCTTTATTAAACCACAAAAATGCCACTGGCCTTAGTAATTACTTCCAGTTGCCCCACCCACTTAACCTTAATAGTTTACACTTGTCATAAAGAGAAATAAATGAAAAAGGTTTTCACCACTTTGGGGAATTTTTGATCTCCCTGTACATCCGTAAGAGCCAAAATTTTAACCAGGCTTTTTGATAATAAGTTCACTAAAACACACTGTTGAAAAGTTTTAATAAAGCACATACTGGAACATTAAGTACAAATATTGTTACAGAAACTTGTTCTACTGCAAACTTTTAGTTACCAATTATGTATTTAAATTTATTCCAGGGCTAAAACTGATCTAAATTTGAAGACTGCGTTTATATTCTACTTCAACCATGAGAGATGTTAAAAAGAAAACAATTTTAGATCTGTAATAAAAACTTCCTTTCAAGTACCCCACAGATACTTAGCACAAGAAATTCATGAAATGATCTCATAAATAATGAAGGGCATTTTATAAAATAAATTTTACACTTTGAAAAATATAAAGAGTTGACAGCATAACCAACAAATGTATTTAGTTATCACGGAAGAACTTGAAGCACTTCTAAAAAGAAAAAATCAGTGGCCATAAAAATTAAGATACAAATAAAAATTGCAAATGCACCGATGTGGGAATCCAACCAGGTGATGAAACAGTGTTGGAATGTAACATTACATTTTGCATACTGGGTAAGGCTATCATGGAACCAAAAGTTTTAAATAAAATGTTAAGATAGAAATAGTAACATGCAAATGCTGCAAATCATAAAACAAGTAAAAAAAAAAACCTAAGAATTAGAGACATTTCTCAATCTCAAACCATTTTCATTACTCCCAGATCCTTCTGAGCAGGACCAATGGTTAAAGGCAAAGGGCTGAGTCCCAAATGTGGGCAAATGAATAAACTTTTCTTAATTTGCTAGCTATACAATCAACAAAATGAGGTAAAATGACAACTAACATATGTAAAATGCATACCTCAGACAACAAAAAGAATATATCTCATTTACTCAACATATTTTTCAGCACCTACCATGTTATTGGACACAATGCTCAAAACAGTACATGCATCGTCTCTATTCTCATGAAAATTAATATGAACTTTTTAAAAAGGACAGGGTGAATAAATAGTAAGAAGCTGGTATTAAGATGCAGAGAATCTCCCATCTTCCTTGAAAACTTTGTAATCAAAATACAACAAAGGGTTTTGTAATTAGAGTCAGTAAATTGCTACAAGTCTGGAGAAGAGAAAAATGTAGCTTTTTCAAAGAGCTGAATGTCCCATTTGTTGGATACATCAAAAACAGAGTCAAATATACATTAAATTGGTTTTACAAAGTATGAAAACACATACTAGTAAGCCTATGACACTCATGTAATTGAAAGAATAAGATATAATTTGCCTTTATTTGTTTCAACTCAAAATCAAAGATCCTACCATGCCAAGTTAGTTATGCCAGGGGCTGCAGAGCATATAACGACAAAATTTTGGGACACCTGGGTGACTCAGTGGTTGAGCATCTGCCTTCAGTTCAGGGCGTGTTCCCAGAGTGGTGGATAGAGTCTCTCACTAGGCTCCCCGCAGGGAGACTCCTTCTCCCTCTGCCTGTCTCTGCCTCTGTGTCTCTCATGAATAAATAAAATCTTAAAAAAAAAAAAAAGACAAAATTTTATTCCTAAGTTTACAATTTGTACACCCATAGTGGGAGTAATGTGTGGGAGAAATAACTAAATAATCATATCGTGAAATACAATATTGGGTAACAGCAAGGAAGTAGAATTCAGATGAATCTGGAGGAAACCCAGACAGCTCCACCATTTGTTACATGTGCAATACTGACAAGCTATTTCACCTTTCTGTATGTCCGTTTCCTCCTTTAAACTGTATCACAATACCTGTGTCATAGCACTGTTTGGAAGGATTAAATCAGGTTTTAAAGGTGAAAGAGTATCAGAAAATACATAATGATGAGGGACAAAAAGATGATTCCTTCAGGATACTTATGATTTTAATGAGACTGGTAAACACTGTAACAGTATTAAAGAGAAATTTATAAAAATATATCCATATGCCTAACACCCTAGTAACTGTTTTAAGTGTTTTTACCTACCAATAATTATCCATATACATATCCACTTTACATAGTTAAACCAATATTTTGCACTGATTATTTTTAAGTATCATATCACTACGTTTTTTAACATATAGTTACCCAGTGTTCATATTTGTTTTAATGGCCTCATTAAAAATCTATTAAGTTGATATGTCACATTGTCTTAGCCATTTTGTCAGGGAGCCCTCTTGTTTAACTATAGATGCCAATAGTTAACCAGAAATAGACAAGACTGCTTAACTCAAGTTCTAACTAAAACCCATTGTGCTTATTTCTTATTGCACTTCCTTCAGGCATTGACAAAGACATTTTGCAATGACTGGAACATTCCAACACCAGACCAGAAAAGCCGAGATAGTAATGGAATGCCTAGAAGACCATACCCCACGTATCCCCTTCTCAGCCCATATGGGATCATGGTCTAAACACATATGGACTGCCACCCATGATCATACACTCTGCTTGCTTTCTTGTATGGAACCCCCACCCTCCTCAAACTCTCCCAATAAAACTCTAGGTATCCATTTTGCCAGCAGAGAAGTAGGTTGTAAAGGCTTGTGCCTGCCACTTGCAAAGGCTGCTGGCACCTGAATTAAATTTCTCTTTCTCTTTTCCAAATCCTTGTCTCTTGAGTTATTGGCTTCTGTCGCAACAAGTTTGTTCAGCAATACTGTTGGCAAACACAGCTAGAAGCTATGCTTCAGATTTGTCCAGGCCCCTCAGGAATCCCTGGGATGGAGCAGTTGGCTAACACAGTGCACGGGGATTCACTCATTTATTTCCTGAGTTAGTGGCTATGACAGACTGATCAGCAACAATTTCTCATTGTTGAAAAATCAAATTATTTCATTATTATTGCCTTTCAAATACACTGCAATGAAAATCTCAGTAAGCTGATTCCTTTAACTGTCATGGAGGGTAGAATTGACAAAGTCAAAGGTTATAAGAATTTTCAGGGTCCCTGAAATGTTATCAAATTGCTTCCCAAAACTGTGGTCAAATTTTATATTGCCACCAACAAGATAGGCCAACTTCCATTTATTCTTTAAAGGCATAGAAACACAGGTATATATTAATTGGCTTGAATTTATTTAGTGTGTATTCTCCCACATGGAACTATAAAGGAGAGGATGAGTTTGGTGTTTGACTTGTAAAAACATATCAAAAAAATTAACAAAATTTCTTCAAAATTGACGCAAGTGATATTATGTTACTTTATAAGAGCAGCTACCAGAAGAAACCAGCATGAGATGGTAACACTCACCTAAAATCTAACTACCTAAAATATAATTCTGAAACATCATACAAATATGCAATCTCTTTGTAATTGTAGGGACCAAGAGCAGGACATCTCGAGACAGGACAACTT